TCGAATGAGATCTTTGGTCAGGTCTAGTGTGCTTCCCGTAGCATCCCCTGAGGCCAGCGTGAACGGGGTTTGCAAGGCCCGTCCCGCCCCGGCTGCCCCAGAAGAAGTGTGTGTTGCTAAGGCAGGCCCTCCCTGGCCTTTGGTTGTGGATGAGGGCCAGGGAGGGGCCTGCCCTAGCAACACAGTTAATTTTGGACAAAATAACTGGACAAGCCCTAAAACTTGTAGGATTTACATTTCAAAAGGCTAAGAGTGGCCAGGTGTGGTGGTTCATGCCTGTAATCCCAGCACTTTGGGAGGTTGAGATGGGTGGATCACTTGAGGTCAGGAGTTCAAGACTAGCCTGGCCAACACAATGAAACCCTGTCTGTACTAAAAAAATACAAATTAGCCAGGTGTAGTGGCTCATGCCTGTAATCCTGGCTACTCAGGAGGCTGAGGCAGGAGAATCGCTTGAACCTGGGAGGTGGAGGGGTTGCAGTGAGCCGAGAATGTACCACTGCACTTGAGCCGGGGTGACAGAGCGAGACTCCATCTCAAAAAAAAAAAAAAAAAAAAAAAAAACTATGAGTTACTGGTGGAGGAGGAGAGATTAGATCCCAGAGTCTCAGCAGGGGAGAGTTGGGTGTCTAAGCTCATTTAGGCTGGATTCTGGAGAAATTTGATTGGGAAGGAGTAGTGTTTAGGAAGAAGAAAGAGTTTTTAAAGCAATCACACTGCTGCTTTGTAGAGTGATGAGAGAGTATGTTTTAATAGATTTCGATGTGCACTTGTGAATGGAATCCCCATTTGCTGTGCTTTTGAGAGACTTCAGGCAAGATTTAAATTGCTTTTCAGTTCCTTTTTTTTTTTTTTGCATCCTTTGAATGTAACTCCAGGCTGGCTTCAGGGTAGAAGCAAGCCTCCTGAGCTCTATGCAAGTTGTCTTAGGAGTCGCCTTCATTCTCCTTTTTTCTTGTCCTGGGGCCGGTTATCTATAACATTTCAGACTGCATCAGTCTGAGCTCTTCTGATGCCTCTTGCCTCCTTCGGGATGCTCTTCCCTATTCTTCCTGCCTCACTCCCAGTCATCCTCAGGTCACAGCTGGATGCCATTTTTTCGGAGAGGTCCTCAGTGGTCCTTTCAGTCTTAAGTGGAACTGTTTTATTTTTCTCTTTCATCGAACGCTGTTATTTTTCTCTTTTCATTGAATTCTCTTGTTCTTCGTTATAACACTTCTCATGATTTGTAAGTACATCTGAAAAACGTCTGGGGCTGGGAGCAGTGGCTGACGCCTGTAATCCCAGCACTTTGGGAGGCTGAGGCAGGCGGGTCACCTGAGGTCAGGAGTTCAAGACAAGTCTGGCTAATATGGTGAAACCCTGTCTCTACTAGCTGGGCGTGGTGGTACACACCTGTAATCCCAGCTACTCGGGAGGCTGAGGCAGGAGAATTACTTGAACCCGGGAGGCAGAAGTTGTGGTGAACCGAAATCGTGGCATTGCACTCCAGCCTGGGCAACGAGAGTGAAGCTCCGTCTCAAAAAAAAAACAAACATCTGTGTCAGGAGGAGACATTTGCCATTATTTTGTGAAAGAGGCTAGAGAAAGAAGGTGACTGGCTGAGATTAAATAATGTAAAAATGATAAATGTCAGCTGACTGTGTGTTTAACAAAACACAAAAGTCACTTTAAACCCCATCTCCACTGTGGCTCTGGACTGCTTTAAATAGCTCCCAGAGAATTTAATGGAAATCTACTAACACCCTGTATCTGTGAATAAAAGGCAAATTGTCTGTATTCTCAGGTCCTAAAATGTATTCTGTCTTTTTCTTGAAATGAACATTTGCACTAACTGGTTATAGACAGTCGAGGTAGGAACACTGATGCATGCTGTGTGTATTTGCTGGCTTAAGGGGCCGCTTGGTATCATTTAAATCTTATTTGTGCTGCTGTATATGAAGATTTTTGATCATGCCTTTTGCTCAAGCCTTTTCCTGGACAAGGGATTAAATTTTGCCCAGGAACTCTTATGAAAGAAAGAGACTGCTAAGGCAGATGGATTTGCTAAAAGGCAATAGTTCATATATATAATAAACCTCCAAATTGGTGAACTTTTTGATTACAAGAGTATTGAAAATTTTATCACTGGGTCATATGCTGCAAATCTGTTTTCAGAAAAATAATTCACATTTTATAGGGAGAGCACTTTGAGCCACGTAGAAATTATGGCTTGTACACTATTTACTGTTAAGAACATTTATACTCGGTCTTACTCATAATCGCCCGTGGTAGGAACTGGATCATTATCTATTTTTAAAAGAATCAGCAAAGTGATATTTGCCCAATTCCTATGTGAGAAAACCTTCTAGATATGGTAGTGTTGAGATTAGTTAAATTGTGTCTTTCTGAATTCATGGCTAGGTTAGTCATGACATTGATTTCAGCTTCATAATTTTTAAAAAAATCTCTTCTTCATTTTGGCATTTGGTCTTGGCTTCTTTTGACAATATGGAATATTGCAGGGACTCGTCTTTCTCTCCTTTCCTGCAGTTGTATGAGAAGTACTACCATTTTATATTCCAAAAGATGTCACAAAGATAAACTACAGAGATATAAAGTAGTGTTTTTCTTTATTTTTATTTTTTTAAGTGTGTGTAGGGTCAGCTCCAAGGATTTCAATGAGAAGTTATGAAGAAATACTTTAAATATATACAAATTAGAGAGGATAGAATAGAATAATGAGTCCATTGCCCAGATTAAATCATTATCAAGATTTGACCACACTGGCTTTATTTTTACTTTGTTTATTTTTTGTTGAAGTATTTTATAGCAGATCCCAGAAACCACATCACGGTTCTCCTTCATAGCTGTATGCTTGTCCACAACATGGGAGGGTTTCCTTTCATCAGCTTTGCATCTTGATCTACATGCATGTGAAGTACCAACTGTGTTATCAGGCACCCTGCCAGGCATTAAGGACACTCGAATGGATAAGACCAAACCTGTCTCCCAAGGAAATTAAGGATCGATGAGAGAAACAAAAACATGAGATTACGGATGCCTTATGGTACCTGCCAGATAACTCCTATGAGCTGAACTTTGTGCAAAATACAGTGGAAATATAGAAGAGGGACTGGTCGGCTGTGCAGGGCAGGGTGCTGAGAGAAGAGGTCAGGAAGGGCTGTGAGTGGCGGAACTCTTGGAGCAGCGTCTTCAAATATCAGTGGGCAAACAGAGAAAGGTTAGGATAGAAGGAAGGGCCCCTGCTATTTGCGTTGGGGAGCAAGCATCCCTTCTTATTCTGCTTGCTCACCAGTCAGCATCAGCCGAGCGCCCAATCTCATGCCAGGCCCTGTCCTGGGCATGCAATAGTAAGTAACACACAGTCTTCAGGTACAGGAAGTCATACCTGAATGGGGGGATTTTGACACACAAGCAGGTAATTTTAATAAATAACCTCAACAGGGATCTGAGAAAATGGAGGACTCATTCTTAGTGAAACAGTGGAACAGGATGGATCATTAATCATGTCACAGCTAGAGTCAAAGGTTGGCCTGTGTGTTAACCACATTATATTCATTGAATAATGATATTAATAGCAACTAGCATTTATTGAGAACTTATGATAAATACACTGCTGAAGTGCTTTAAATGGGTTATTGCACTTAAACCTCACAACGTTGACTTGTACTATGACTACTGTCTCCGCTTTACAGTTTGGTGTGGCCCCCTTCTCATCGAGGGTTCACCCCAGAGGTCACCTCCTTGCCCACCTACCCTGGCTGACGCAGCACCACTCAGCCCCATCAGCCCTCACAATTACTGTTTGTGTTTGTCCCAGCATCCACCAGCACGCTGTTTCCCAGGGCTGAGGCCTAACTCTTCCCACAAGAGTGTCAATGCCATGAGAGCAGGCCCTTCATCTCCCTGCTCGTTCTCCTGAACCTGCCCTGCACAGTATTGTGCTCTCAGTAAATACTTGTTAACCAACTGTCGTGAGCTATTATGGACTTTCAGTGCATGGCAGTTTTGTCGGAGTTTGAATGAGCCTTTATGTGTTTTCTCATGGTCTAAGTTTTGGATCAGCTGGAGCAGTGATTAGCCAGTCTGTGTGATTGGTTATTAGAACTATTGGCGGGCTGTGTGTGTTAACACAGGTTGGCTGGGAGCAGTGGCTCATACCTGTAATCCTAGCACTTTGGGAGGCCAAGGTGGGAGGATGGCTCTAGGCCAGGAGTTCAAGACCAGCCTGGGCAACATGGGGAGACCCTGTCTCTACAGGAAAAAAAAAAACCAAAAAAACATAAAATAAAATTAGTTGGGCATTGTGGTGTATACCTGTAGTCCCAGCTCCTCAGGGGGCTGAAATGGGAGGATTGGATTGCTTGAACCCAGGAGGTCCAGACTGCAGTAAGCTATGATTGCACCACCACACTCCAGCCTGGATGACAGAGAAAGACCCCATCTCTTAAAAAAAGAGATACTTTTCGACTGTCTGTGCATCCAAATTTCTCCATCTTTAATTCAAAGATGCTAAACTATTTTGGAGTGAGCAGCTGTAGAATTTAACTTTTTTTCTAATTTAGCTATCTACTTTTCTTCATTTTTCTCATATTTTAGAGAAATATTTTTGATTTAATGTTCTTGGTTGTTGATAATGAAGGCCCTTCAAATATGAGTATTTTCTTGAAAAAAAAGTATGTCTCTAACTCAGATATATGAAAACCAACTTCTGTTCTAAGTTTATTATTTCAAAACAGGTAATTTTTGAAATTAAATCCTGTCTTTGCAGAAGAGAGAAGCTATAATGTAATACCTGTTTTTGCTGTATGAAACCCACGCCAACTTTAAAGTCCTTTTCCAGGGTCATTAAAAACAGAGGAAATATTTTTTGTTGCTCTTTGAGTTTGATGGTTGAGGCATTTGTCTTCAAATTGCCAAGTTTTACAACTTAGATTAACTGTATTTCCTGCACCCTCTCCAAGCACTTTTGTGATGTTTTGTAACTTCCATCACAGGCATGCACAGAGGCTGGGCTGCGGTCCAGATGCGTTTGCTCCATGAACTGGTCTACGCCTCCCGAAGGATGGGGAACCCAGCCCTCTCTGTCAGACACCTGTCCTTCCTTCTACAGACCATGCTGGACTTCTTGTCGGATCAGGGTGAGTGAGCTCAAACCATGATTTTTTTTTTCAAGGGACTGTGAATGAGAGCACTTTAGATGCTGGTTCATGTAAACCCTGGGCTTGGGTTTCAGTGGGTGGAAGACACTGGCCAGCTCCTCGTCGGTGAGAAGGTCCCTGCCCCACGCCTTGGCTCCCTCCTTCCACACTCACTTCTCTGGGACCCCTGTGCCACCTCCTCCCACCTTGACGCCATCCCCTCCTGCTCCTTGGCCGGCCAGCACACTCCACGGCTTTTCCCTCCGCCTCTCGGGCTTCTTCTCAGCCTCCTGTGTTGCCTCCCATTTCCTTAGCCTGCCTTTTATAAAATATAAATGTCAAAGCATAACATTTACATAGAGGAGTACACGACTCGTAGGAATGTGTCTCAGTGATCTCAGTGAATTCTCACCAAGTGGCCACCGCTGTAATCAACACCCGGATCAGAGACGGGCATGAACAGAACCCAGGGGTCCCTTGTGCCCCTTCGAGTCACTGGGTGACTCCATCTTCCCTTCCAGAACCAAAGATGAGGTTTGCGTGTGTTTGCGCTCATGGGGCCATGCGGTGTCTCTGCCCCTGTTTCAAGGTTGCCTTTCTCCCAGGCTCCTTTCTTGGCCTTCATCTTCTCTTCTTATGCTGCTCCTGGGTGCTATCTGCTTTTTGATAGCAGGAAACATGACCTGTTTCCCTACGCACTTGTGGCTCAGCCGCCCCAAACATGCCTTCCTGCCTCCCTGACCCTGGCCCAGTGTGTGGTGCCGGCTGGGTTCTCAGGGAAGTGCTGTCTGCTGTGGAGACTGATGTGTGCAGAGCGTATTGGGAGGTACTCATGGGATCAGCCCCGTGGAAGGAAAGAGACGGAGGCGAGACTGGACAGTGGGAGAAGCTGGGCTTCGGTGCTATATCGACACAGGCCTCAGCCGCACGGGGAGCTCTGCACTGCCGTGCCCTGCAGACGTGTCCCATGTTGTTCTGAGGGGCTGGGCCTTTCTCCTCTCTCACTGACCAGCAGTTGGATGCAGGCTACCCTGGGTGATGTGGTTCTCTTCGGCAAAGAGACAAGGCTTCTGCTGACCCAGCAGGGCCTGTGCAGCTGGGAAGCTGTTGGAGAGATCTCTGGCGATGGGAGGGCCGGGACTTCCTGTCCCCGTGCCAGGCCCTGGGTGCTCACCACTCCCAGGAAAGGGTAGGGTCTCGAAGGGCTGTCCCCTGTCGAGGACACCTTCTGGGAAGGCAGCACTCTCCCCTGGGGAACGGGCTCTCCTCCCTGCAGGCCGTCTGGTTGGCTCATTACTGCCCCCTGCAGTGCTGCTCCATCACTGCTGCTGTCCAGGCAGGGACTCCACTCCCTCACTCTCATGTCCTGGCACCTCACAAATTTTGTACTTCTCTGTTTTTCACATTTCTGAAAGCAGGACATGTTTCTCTCCAGCCCTCCACCCACTGCTTTCCCCTGGCTATTCGCTGTCTGTCTTCGAGTAGGCTCTGGCTCCAGGGTAATGTGGGGTGTGCATCTCTGAGGGTAGTTGTGAGGTTTAAATGCACTAATTCTGGCTGGGCATGGTGGCTCACTCCTATAATCTGAGCACTTCGGGAGGCCCAGGTGGGCGGATCACCTGAGGTCAGGAGTTCGAGACCAACCTGGCCAACATGGTGAAATCCCATCTCTACTAAAAATACAAAAATTAGCCGGGCGAGGTGGCGCATGCCTGTAATCCCAGCTACTTGGGAGGCTGAGGCAGGAGGATCACTTGAACCCGGGAGGTGGAGATTGCAGTGAGCTGAGATCACACCACTGCACCCCAGCCTGGGTGACAGAGTGAGACTCCATCTCAAAATTAAAAAATAAAATAAAATAAAATGCACGTTCTTTTTACAATGAACACATATGTGTGTGTACACTGTACGTGTATGTATACGTATGCTGTATTGTGTTTTTCTGTTGGAGTTTGTATTTCTCAAGGGCATGGGCCATATCTTCCCCTTTGGGTGCCCTGTGGTTTCCATGGACATGGTGAGATGACTGAGCGTGTATGCAGGACCAATAATTGGAGTGACCCATTGCACTCTTCTGTGTCAGGCTGATGAACCCGACTGTCTCCACTCCAGACATGTGAGGCCTTGTCTTGTTGTGATGACAGCACTGAGAAGTAGACTGTGTCTCCCAGCCCCACGTGCTCGGACGTTGATGTTTGCACGCGTGTCCGTGAGATGGCCGCCGGGAAGAGCAGAGTGGATGAGCACATAGGGCTCTCTGTTAACTGCTCTGTTGCTGTGTTTCTTTTTTTGTTAATAGCAGTCATGCATTGTTGATGAGCATCCTTGTGCCTGGGAGTGGTGGTGGGTGTGTGCCTGCCTATCTCCCCTGCCCTTCCTGTCCAGAACGCAGAGTCAGCATCTGTCTCTGGGCGGCAAAGAAAACCTCTACAGGAAAATACAGCGAGGGTTCTCGGTGATGCTTTAACCTCTGCCTTCCCCTCCTTTTTATCTTATCCTGTTTATATTATTAAGCTTTGTTCACTTCTAAGCCTATCATGTGATAGTTGTACCTTTTCCTCATGTGATCTTTCAAAAAGGGTGATCTGTATGCTATATTTTTGAGTAATTAGATATTTTGTAACAGGTCACATTGGAGGCTCTTTTAATATATGTGTGTAAAATAAGTAAATGTGAATTCTTATTGAAACAGCATGTTTAACCGTGGCCTGTGGTCTTCACCAGCCCTAAGTGAGGACGGAGGCTTTGAGTTGGATGTGGCTCGTCCATTAGACTCCTTGTCTCCCTCACGTGGTCACGACTGGCCATTGCTTTTATGGCCAGAGCCCTTAGTTAATTCCCCCCCATGCTGTGATCTCTCTTCGGTGTATCTTCTCCACACCAGTATCCTGAAGACAGTTTCTTTTTCTTTCTTTTTCTCTTTTTAAGATCTACCAGAAATACTGGAGGAGAATATCTGTTTAAAATCTGAGTTTGAATTAGTCGTGGTAGGACGTTTTCTCCATGGTGTTTGTAGAGTGACTTAGGAGAGATTCGTCATCTCAGTTTGGATGACTGACAAAGCTGCAACCAGACTCAGCCAGATTTCAAATCAGGCGGTTTATGGGAAAAGAGAGGAGGAGCTATGATCATGAGGTACTTCTAAGATCCGTTGTTTTTGGTGGATTGTTAATTCCCGGTGAGAAAACAGAGAATGAAATCCGTATGCTTCCATATGGGCTATGTTTCCATTAGATATAAATTGCGTTTGATTTTTGATGAAAAGTCAGCATAACCCTCTAGAGGTGTCAGGTGCCCCTTGTCCTGGAAAGAGGACGCACACTGTGATTGATGGGGTCCTGGCTGTATGTTTTTAGGTGACAGGGAAATTTGTTTACCCATGAAATGTGGATAGTGTCTTATGGTTATTTAAAGTCATATTAATTAGTGATTTAAAGACACTTAGTTTGAAAGGAGAAGAACTTAGGATGCTTGATACTGTTGAACAAATAACAGTCTCTTGAAAGGCCTTTATATAATGGTATTTGGCTAATTGGAGTCGTCTGAGAAAAGGACAAAAGTCAGGAGGTCTGAAAGGTTCTTTCCACTCACCTCAGCCTCTAATTACTGTAACCGCCGATCAATAATGACATCCTCCCTAGCCTCCATTTTCTCGTTTGGACAGCTGGGCTGTGCGGTGCTATGTGGCAGTTTGTTATTTTTAATGATAGATACTATAATTTATTAGATGGTATGTTTTTTCTGAAGAGCTCATGGTGCTATTCACAGATAACTAACATTTCTACGTTTTGCCGAGTTGAAATAAAGTATGGAATAGAAGAGCAGCCAGGCATGGAAAACACATGACCCCAGGGCTGAGGAGGGTCTTTCTAGCCTTCTTGTAATTTGTGAAACTAGACTGGTGACATGCATTGAAGACAGCATCATCTGGGGACTTCTGCTCCATGTGTACTCTCCAGTATGTGCTAAAGATTGAACCTACAAGATACATTATGAGGGCAAGTATTTACACAGAAAGGCTCTGAGTTCCCCAAGACTTTGGTCATTTTTTACAAGATGAAGTATTACTTTGATGATTTGTGGAATCTTCTTAGGAACCGTGACTGTGTTGCTTTTCTGATCGTGGTACAGGGCATCTTTGTTGAGGCTTCCCATGTGTGTGGGCACAGAGCTTCCATGGCATTCCAGCAGTAGATTAATGGAGCTGTCATCCTCTGAAGCCTCATGGGTTGTGCGTGCAAACCTGGTCCTGTGAACTGCACAGGAGTCTCTTAAAAGGGCAGAGGGATTCCTTCCTTTGTGAAAGGTTTAGAATGGCACATATTTGTAATTTCCAGCCTCATTTTTTGCCACTCTCACATTCACCCTGTATTTGGCCGTACTAAATTGCTGACAGTTCTCCAAATACAACAGCATTGCTATTCTGCTGCCTTTGTGTATGCTGTTTCCATTACTGTTACATTGTCCAGGAATTCATCCCGGCCATGACTGCAGTGCCCCCTCTGGCAGCTTCCCATGCCCTGAACCTGCCTCTGTCGGGGCCTCCAGCATGCTGGGCTGTGGAGTTGCTGGTCTGTTTCCCCACCCAGCAAGCCTCTAAGCTCCTCAGAGACACGAACTGTCATGTGTATCTGGAGCAGCACCTGGTAGCTTACAGGTCCTTAAATGCCGGCTGAATGAATGATGTCTTCTGTCTCTTTCAACCCACCTTCTGCTATGCTACCAAATGGATATTTCTTCTAATTGGCGATTTTAAAGATCCTGCTGTGGCCTTTGATCAGGCTTTTGAGCGGTGTTTGGCAAACGGTGGCCTATGGACCACGTCTGGCCCGCTGCCTGATGTTCATCCTTGCATTGGCTGTTCCAGCATGAGTTTATAGTTACTGACACCAGTTCCTGTGGAAAATAGAAAAGACTCGTGGCTTTCACATCAAATAGCTAAAAAAGGGAACCAGGGGAAAAATTAGCTAGGTAAACTGTTTCAGAGACTGAGATCAAAA